TTCGGGCGTAGAGGCTGAGGTTGGTTGCAGTCGCAAGTAATTGCGAATAGGGGTTCTTAATGGAAAGCCTTAACTGTGAGCATCACTGGTACTCCACCTCTAATAACTGTAATGGCTTGTATGTCATAACGAAGAGTGGTGTGTGCTGAACAAACATCTCCATAACCTCATTCGTTAAGAGACGAATCTTTCAGTGTCTAATATTATGTCTTAAAGTCAAGTAAACAGTACATTTTGGTGCAAACAGACTGAGTTATGGAATTACTTACACTGTACAGAGATCACTTGGTGGGTGTGTACATGTGACACAAAGAACAGACAGATGATGCAGCTGACAGCGTTGCCGACCAGCCTGGCTAGAGCCTGAAGACCATTTTGACAGGGCATAAGGGAGTGCTGTATAAACACTGTACAAATGGGCCCCATATCTAGAAGTTTATAATTGGGAAGGGGTAGGAGATCCCTTCAGAAGGAAACAAGCAACGAGTCTCAGAGAGCATATATAAACCACTTCTGCCTCAGGGAAACAAAAATCCCGATGTGGAGCTAGCAGAGGGAGGAAAATAGTAACAAGTGGGAATATTTAGAGTGAGGTTTCTCTTTCAGTTCCCTTGTGCTCTATTTTTGTTCCTTGCATTGCACTTGAGAGCCAGCAGTGACCAGGAGACCGGAGCATGTAGGTACAGCTGATTCGCAGACACTTCACTATTACAGGGCTGCTCTTGTGGGCAGCCCAGATCTGGCTGAATGCTGCTGTCCTCGAGGACCCCACTCCTCTGTAGCTTTCTTTTCTAATTTTCTTTGTTTTGTTTTGAGTTTTTACCTTTATCTGTGGATATTAGAAAAATTGCTCAATATCTGGAATAGGGCAAATCCTGCTCTGTTTTTACTAGCCAATCCCTTTGAAATGAGTGGCCAACAGAGATGTGGTGAACTTGTCCGTTCTGAACCAGATATTTCTGGTGTTGTTTAACAACAGTGAAGAAGTTCCTGTGTAAAGAGGAGATTGTTATAAGCTTTGTAATTTCCACTGTGGTGCTGAATCATTGTTTCATGTTTGATAGTGTAGGTGTTGTGTTTGACAGATCTATTAGTGTGTACTGTGAAGCTTCACTGAGAGAAGGGGGACACGAGTGAGCTCATTTATCTGGAAGAGGATTCGGTTTGCTGCTTGTCTTCTGTGGACTATCGACACTTAAAAGCCACCCCAGTTCAACATGCCAGCTCTCGGAGCTGGGAGCCTCCTGTGGTGGACTCCAGCAGATGGTCTGTGGAGGTACCTCTGGTGCTGATCTGTGCCAAGGGTTGGTGTTAGTCCTGTCATCTGACAAGCTCAGTGTCGCAGCACAGAAAGTGGCTCCTCAGGTCTGTGATGCAGTGGCTCTAATGTGAGACTCATGCAGCTGGTGGTGTACCTCCAGGTGGTGAATGAAGTTCACGTGTTTGAAAGGCTTGTTCACAGACTCACTCAGGGAAGAACTAGGTCCTCAGAACCTTCCATGGTTCTGTCAGGAGCTTAAAAATTCATAAATAAAATTATCACATTTACCTGAAACCAGACAGCAGAATGACACTGCCCTTTTCCTCCAGCTTTGGGGCGGGGGGAATCATCAAGTTGGTGTTTTACTTTGGGTAAGAGGGAGAATGAAATCCAGATTAAATTTAAACTCTGGTTTATTACAAGTGCCCTGCAGCACCTCTTACCTAATGAGCAGAACAAGCTTCTGCTTTTTGCAAGTGCTGCCATAAACCACGTTATTTCCTTAGGTAAAAGCTTTGGCCAAGATCTCCATAATATGCGTGTCCCACGCTAGAAGCTAAAATATTGATGAGTGTTTTTTGAGTCCTCCTTATGTTGGAAAGTGAAGCCACAGGTTTAAATAGTTAACTGTGGGTGTGGATTTATAGCTTTAGCTTTCAGAAACCTGGCCTTTGACAGCTTGCATGGCAGCACCTGTGTGCTCTAGGCTGAGGACTCCATGGTCTTGTGTCAGGGAGTTAAAATGAGTGGCTGGAAGCTGGTCCTGGTGAAGACTTTCTGAAGAATGCTGCTGGCCAAGTCAGGGACATTTGATCTGCTTCTGCACCAGTGTGTGAATGGGCAGAGGTTCCAGCCCAGTGTTTTATGGCAAATAAAATTGGTGTGGTTGTCTTTGTGCCCAGCTGCCCACATAAGTCTTGCCAGCGCTAACTTCGGCCATCCAGTTTTAATTTGCTGCCACACGTCTGCCAGGACATTCAGGAGGGTGGGAGGGAGGCTGCTTTCCCCAATGACTGCTGTTGACATTTGCAGCATAGAAATGAAGTCAGCCGCTTGTTTGCTCAAAGGTTTTGGTGCCCGTGGCAGCTCTCAGCCGGCCGGGATTGCTCAGTGCCTGTAGCCCAGGGACCTTCCCAGCGGCAGCACGGGGAAAAGTGATCAAGCTGTGTTGGTGTTTAACTTTGTTTCTTAGCCCAGGGGCATCAGTGAAACCCAAATGATCACTCTTGCTGTGCAATGTGGGGAAGCGAATGAGAAGGTATTCTGTTCTTCTTTGCTGCCCTCACAAAGAAGGGAAATAATGAAGGAAATGTTCACGTACACCCACAGAGGCTTGGGGAAGCTGTGACGTGGGGAAGGACTGATGGCTTTGTTTACTGAGGGCATCTTGCAGCCTTGATTTTTCGCTCATGGCAGCTACTGCAGAAGCAAGGCAAAATTTTACTCTTCACCCCAAAATCTACAGGGTGGGTGTGTGAAGGCTAATGTTTGTTTCTTCTGGTATTGCAGGCTCGAGGTAAGAGCATCAGAATGATGTAGTGGCTGGTGGTCCTGAAAAGCAGCTCATCTCTGGCTGGATTCAGACTCTATGTCTAATAGCAATGTCAATAACTTCTGAGAAGTGTAGTCATGGACTTGATTTTTCACAAGACTGAGCAAAACCTGTATCTTATTTCAGCAGCCCGTGTGCTGGGACCTGAAAACATTACCCCTGTGCGAAAGTGGATTGTGGAGGCACCTAATGGAGAGGCGGGGACTGAGGGGACAAAGACAGTACAAGTGACCTGGGCTGTAAAGAGCAGGGGCAGGCGCAGAACGAGGGCGACACCAGTAGTAAGCATGAGACAGGGAAGAAACAAGGAGAGGTTTGAGAAAATTGCAATGTAAAAGATAGAGCGGAAGTTACTGTGGAAAAGAGGAGGTGAAGCGGAACAAGGGAGAGAAATGGGAGAAGAAGGAAGTGATTGCTAAATGCAGTTAATAGCAGCACCGAAGAGAGTTTTAATTGGAAACCAGTTATAATTAACCACAGTTCTGCTCCCATGCATTTCAGGAATGCATCTGGCAGGTAGTTTTCCTTCTGGCTGTGGCGTTGCTGATGCAGTTTCAAGCCAAGCAGCAGATCCGCCTTTGTGTTTACCAGGCCCTGCGCAAACACATTATTAACATCATTTGTCATAGGAGATGGCACTACAAACAGATTTCAGATTTTTCTGTAGCAGACGGGGAATGCACTCTGATTCTGCCCTGTCTAAAGCTTCTCATTTTAACTGTTCAAGCATGAGATCTTGTCACCTGGCAGGAAGATGTTGACCCTAGTTGGTGCTGGAGGGAGACCTTGACCTCGTTGGTATGACCCATGGAGGCTCCTTCTAAATCCCCTGGGGGACTTTCTAAGTAGGGAAGGGGTAAATCTGCAGCTTGTACATTCTTTATGTCTGGAAGGATGAAAAACAACCACGGAGGGTTCCTAAAATTCGTTTGAACTTAGTTGTCCTTTACCTCTTTGTGGGATGCCAGTGCCATGTGCTGGAGAGCTGCTTTGGATGCTGGTGCTCCTTCAGAGGCTCTTCTGAGCAAGTCAGGCAGCTTTTTTCATGCTGAGGAGCAGGATGGCTGTGACTGACATGTTGTGGATGCATCTTTCAAGTCCCTTTGGCAATTGAAAAACAGAACAAGTGGAAAACAGTGGCTGTAGTTTCAGTTAAAAATGACCACTTCCCACCCCACAGAAAAACCCTCTGAATGTAGAAAGCATGGGAGTTGGGAGGCCAGTGAGGGGGTGTGTTAAAGCTAAACCCTGAGGTGTGGGAGCTGTGAAAGCTCAAGTAAAAGCAGGTGTGCCATGGCTCTGATTCTGGTGGGAGTGCCTGTCTCTCTGTCATCAAGTCACAGAAGTTTTTGGGTTGGACGGGGCCCTCACAGATCATTCAGTCCAACGCCCCTGCCATGGGCAGGGACACCTTCCACTAGACCAGGTTGCTCCCAGCCCCATCCAACCTGACCGTGAACACTTCCAAGGTGGCGCATCCACAGCTTCTCTGGGCCACCTGTCCCAGTGTCTCACCACCCTTGTCCTAAAACATTTCTTCCTCATGTCCAAGCTAACCCTGCCCTGTTGTGGTTTAAAACCCTTGCCCCTTGTCCTGTCACGACAGGCCCTGATAAAAAGTCTCTCTTTCTTTCTTCTAAGTGCCTTTTATATATTGAAAGGCCCCTGTAAGGTCTCCCTGGAGCCTTCCCTTCTTCAGGATGAACACCCTCAGCTCTCTCAGCCTTTCCTTGTAGAAAGCTTCATTTTCTTTGTGCATGTTTGTTTAGCTTGTGAGCACTGAGACAGCAGTGAATTGCTTTTACCTGCTGAAAGAGGCTTCCCTCACTATATGCCATCAACTGATTTAGATACCTTTTGAGGGGAACATGATGACAGACTCCCCTTGCTAGCTGTGTGCAAGAACTGCTTTCACATAATTCAAGGACACTGAACGATAGAGGGGGATCTGTGTACATCCGTTTTCTTCCTCCCAAATCACGGTTTTGATCAGTGAGCAAGCCTCTGAGGCCAGCCCGGTGCTTTGTGTGAGCCATCGTAGCCATCTCTTCTGCCTCTGTCCAGAACGTGCGGGGTGAGGGTGAACACTTTGCAGAGGTCACTGCAGTTTAACGCTGTGTGCAGCTAGGTGTGCAACACGCGTGAAAAATGTCCAACAGCTGTCTGTCTCTTCTTTTTCACTTGTAGGTTTATTCTTCAGTCTAAAGGAGTGATTCATAATCAGCTCTTAGAAAAACAGAGACTAGCCGAAGAGAAAATTAAAGAATTAGAGGTAAGTTTGTGGCAGGTAATGGTTACGAAAGTAGAACATCGAAGGTCAACAAGATGCTGTTTGCTACCTCCCTTGTTTTTATCTGGTGCTTTTCGTTCGGAAAGATTGTACCTAGGTGAAACATAGTGCCTGCTACAAGTAACCCGCAAGTAATTCATGTCACTTCTTTTCTTTGCTAGATCTACAGCCCTAGTAGGGATTGATTGTTCTCTCTGTGTCTCAATATGACAACTGAGGGTGGGGGATTAAAATGAGGTTAGTAGGAGCAAGGTTTAAAACTAGCAAAAGGATGCTTGGGTGGTTATTTGCAGCAGCTAGGTGATGTGAAACTGCCAGCGCTGTGGACGTTAAGAGTTTACAGTGGCTCAGGACAATTGCACAAATTCATGGAAGAGAAGTCCATCGAGAGTTACCAAATACGTAGAAATGGCATCCTGCTCAGGAAGTTGCTGAGCTAAAAATGTCTCGAGGCTGGGAAAGTATGAGGAGGAAGTACTGTATATGCCTGCCCTGTCCTTACACTCTGCCCTAGGCATCTCCTTGTGGCTGCTGTTGAAGACCGGATCTAGGGGGAGATCCGGGACTTTGTTTTGACGATGTGGTCAGAGCATTTCTGTGTTCTTATGTTTATCTGGTTGGAGTATTCAAGGCAGAGAAGAATATCTAGGAACTAGAAAGTAATGTCTGCGCAAGTCCCGGTGTTCAAACAAGTTATCTAGTGAATCTTGACTATCTTCTAGTGACTACATTTTCAGCTTACAGTTCTTCGGAGAAGATGGTCAAAATGTACTTTTCCAAGGCCGTTAGTGTATTTTTCTCTTAATGACCCTAAAATATAATTAATACAAAACCCTGTTCCTTGGTTCTTGGGGAATGACAGAGGAAGTAGAGACTGAGTTGTGTCCAGCTGCTTATCTCATCTGCTAGTGTTTTGGAGAAAGTGAGTGTGGAGACCAGTGAAGTAGGGACAAGCAGGAATAGGAAGTCGGTGCTCAAACCTGCTCAAACTTGTGCAGTTCTGTCTCCATTGTTTCCTACTTACACTAAAGCAGAAGTAGAGTTTGTATTTTTTTAAATTCCTTCTTAAAACTCTGCTTGCCTGGGGAGCTGTAGGGCAAGAACATCACTGTATGCTGCATTGCCTGGAATGTTTTCTGTGCCAGAGACTAAGGGGTTTTGCATTTCTGGCCACGAGAACTTTTTCTGCACAGGGAAAGCAAGTACTCCGTGGGTAGGCTACATATTTGAGGTGGTGTTAGTGCAGGCAAGGCCCAGGGGTTTGTTTATGGTTATGTGACAAAACTGGTTGTATCCCTGCTGCTCTGGAGCTGTCCCAGATGCAATGGCGTTGAGCAAAGACAGCCCTGCGACTGAGGTTGGAGAGCTCCATCGCAGCCCGTCTGCGTCTGGAAGTGATGGGAGTGTGGCTGACAGCCCCTGTGTGCACACTGCCCTGGGGTCCCTCGCTGCCAGCTCCATCGGGCTGTGGTCAGCTGTTTGCCTGCTGTGCCCTTCAGCTGCGCATCTTGGTCTCTTCCTGTTCCTGGCGGGGAATGATCTTACCTCCTGAACTTTCCAATTGCTGAGTTCAGCAGAATGGGTGGAATTCCCCCAAAATTGTAACTTTTGCTGCTCTTATGCAAAGCCTCAGGGCCAGCCGCTTCACAAGCGCGTTTTTCTGCTTTGTAGCTCCCTGTTGCTTGAGTCTCTGGTTGCGGCCCCTGAATTGAAGTTCCCACCGACAGTGACTGTCTCAAAAGGTGATGGGAGTGGAAAGGTGGTTGCCACATGGGCTGGTTTTTCTTTTAAACCGTGGGTAGCAGGGCTCTGATTGCCAAAACTTTCAGGTTTGTTTTAAGTGAATGTTCAAGTCCTTCTTTTAACTACTCTGCTTGCAGCTGGCTGGCAGTTTTGTGAAAAGGATTTTCCTTAGGCTTGGGATTCTCCATGGAAAAGGACAAGCTCTTAGACCGACAACTACTGGAAACTGAGATTTTGGGGGAAATACCTGAGTCCAAGTCAGAGAGCACTTATCACGGGAGCAGGGGATTTTACAGTCCTGAAAAAAAGTTGTGACAGAAGCGGGAAAGAATGTGAAACTTTGTGACCTTGTGCTTCCACGGCATCAGTGTAAAATAAATACCAACCCGAGATAGGTTAAAACTTCCCTCTGTTATTAAAACTGGAAGGATTTTAAAGCTTAGGTTTATATTTTACATTGTTAACTACCTTATTACTTACTCGCATTTCTCACTCTGCATAGTCGAGTCAAGTTGGTCAGAGTAATCCTTCAGTATCCGTACGGTGTGGCTGATCCAGGTACTCATGTAGCGTGAGCTTGAGGCAATTGGGCCTTGCTGCTACAATGCTGTTGCCCAGGTGTTGTGAAATATGTATTTTTGATACAAGCCTGAATTTGAGAAATGCTCTCGACGCTAGCTTGGTGCTGTTTGCAGAGGAGCACAGGACAGAGGGCTGGGTTCACTGCTGAGCTCTCTGTAAATCCATCCAGTGTAGCAAGGAGAGCTTCTGAGTGCTGACTGTTCATGAAAACGTGGGCTTTAACCTCCTTCAGAGCTGCGAGCTCTGAACGGTCACAGCTGTCAGAGTGAACTCTGAAAACAGTGTGGTGTTTTGCATCTAGTTTGAAAGCCGCTTTTCTCCCTCCTCTGACAGTCTCCGGTGCGATGTGTGGTTGCAGTCATTCCCTTTCCCTCCCTCCCTCCCCTCTCTTGGGTTCCACTGCTGTTGAGGAGGTGCATTGCCTTTTTCAAGGCAGCATCACAAAATCGATGTGACACTGCTAGTTTGGTCCTCCCTGCTGCTTATTGCACGGCAAAGCAGCAAGGAGAAGCAGGGCTGTGAAGAGAAGGCTTGGCTGGAGTACACAAGGGATGAGAGGAGCCATGTTCTGGAAACACCAAGGGGTACGGACGCGTGCGAGGGGGCAGAGGCAGAGCCTGTAAGTCACTCTGCAGAAAAAGCGAGGTGGCTTTACCCTTCGGGTTGAAGTTGAGGTATGAATGTGAGTATAGATGTACATATGTAGCATTCTTCGCTTCACAACTTGTATAGAATCCTTTGGGATCCCAATAGGCTGGCCAGGCTTGCTGGCAGAACACACGTGCCTGCTTAAAGGCTGCGCCAGTGAGGCTGACAAAAACCTCCTTGAATCTTGCTGAGGTTGATGGCACAGGCTCACTCACATGCTGGCCTGGGAAGCGTCCTGCTTAGCAGTACCGATTGGATTTTTCCAGTCCTGATACTATCAAATTCTTGTTGTGTTTCACAGTACGAGGGGTATGTGTTAAATCTATTTTGAAAGCATTCTAAAGGGATGAGCACAGACTCTTTTTAGCTCAGCAATGTTTGTGCAGTATTAGGAGAAAAACCAAGTAATGTTTTTCTTCCCTTGTTTTTAAGGAAACATGATATGTGAGGGGTGGAACAATGCTTTGTTTCAGGAAATGTTATCCGTTTCCATTGTAGGGCTAGATGGATTCTGTTTTTAAATGTGGCGTTTTAAAAAGAACGACCTCTCTGATGTTATAAAGACATGGAAAATTGATTCTTCGTTAGGGGTGGAGAAAGTGATTATTGCTATGTGTTTTCTCTGATAATATCTGATAGTCCCCTTCTCTCCTGCTATATTCAGCATGTTTAGTTGTCAGGCGTTGTCAGACTAAATTGCTAAAAATAACAAATAAGGGGGGGGCTCTGCTGGGCAGCTCTGTCTACTGTGTGCCACTGAATTTAGCTCCTTCGTGAAAAGGGCAAAGCAACTTGCCGCGTTCTGGTTGAATTGGGTTTTGGTTTTAAGCTCTGACCACAGCATTGTTGTGTGCTTGTTTCCCAGGCAGTTCTTTCACGTGTGTATGAGAGACTGAAAGTTTGCTGCTGCGGGGATAAAGGGTTGGTTGTTTTCTTCTCTGTCTGCCTGCAGTAGAAAATACAGTCGGGAAAGCTATACCTGAGTGCTTGATTTCTAATTCAGAATCTTTTCATGTGATCCCTAAAATGCCATGTCCAGTTGTCCTGTCCCACACAGAAAACTTCTTTGCTCTCGTTTGTGGTGGAGAGGTAAACACTCTGCTCTCAAACACTGCTGTGCTCCACGTTTAAAGGCTGAGATGGTGTTGCAGGGCTCCTTCCTGGTGGAGTTAAGAAGGGACGGTGTTGCAATGCCGCGTGGGGACCAGGCGTTGTACGTATCGTCAGGGGTATCAACAGACCCCTTCCCTGGTGCTGCCTGGATGCAAACTGGCTCATGCTGCGGCTTCCATTTGTCTGATCCTCTTTCTCTCGGCGCTTTAAAATGGCTTTGCCACAGCCCCGGGGCGCGGCGGTGGTACCCCTCTTCTCCATGAGTTGGCCAGGGCGGTTGCCCCCGTCGTGGTGTTGTACCCTGTGGGAGCGAGGGTTGAAGCGGGCAAGGGGTGGCTGGGGAGAAGCGCCGGAGCCTGGGAGTTGGTGTTCCCTGCGCAGGGACGGCTCGGGCGGACCTGCCTGGGTGCCTCGGGTACGCTCCTGCGGCAGCTCGCTGGACGGCCCTCCGGGTTTTACGCTGAAACCGTCATCATGGAGGCGAATTCTGAGGGTGGCTTTAATGATGTGAAAACAAGTCTGTCAGGATTTGTGGTGCGCTTTGCAGACCACTAAGCGACCATCAGACGGTAGCAATTATTAGGCTGTTCCCAAGTTAGACCGATTTCTTCCTGGGATTTACAGAGGAGAAGCTCTCATCCCATGGTTGGCTTGGGATAGGCCAGTGCCCAGGAATGTGCGGTGGGCTTTTTAAATAAACAGGGGGAAATAAGGAATGCTCCTGTTTGCTTTGGAGAGGGGAAGCCTCAAGAATAGCCCTCTGTGCTTTAGCCTGGAGCAGATTTTACTTGGGGTGAGTGTGCTGTTCTCTCATGCCATTGCTGGCATACACGCACGTACTGAGGACATGATTTCAAACACATGTTGTCACAGAAGCTGCCCCTTGTTTTGGAGTG